TATGGAATGAACTTCCTGATGATGTGGTCGATACGGGTAAAAATACAACGTTTAAAAGGCATTTGGATGGATACATAAATAGGAAAAGTTTGGAGGGATATGTGCCAGGGGCAGGCAAGTGGGACTAGTCTAGGAACTCTCCAGCCTCAAATAATGCTGATCTTGCTACCGTTGATCTCACCTAATGCACACCTTGTGCAATGTAACCTGTATGCCTCTGTCTAAATCTTTTTTATTCATACAACCTTGCTTACTATGATCTGTCTATACTGCTCATAATCAAAGCTTTTCACTGTACTTTAGTACAGAAGACAATAAATCAAACAAACATTTTAAGTTGTATTCACAAATATGTACATTGTAAAATTGAGACTGTGAATAAGTGACTAGTTCACTTTGTCAACCCATTCGGAAATATATGCAGGAAGAAATAGAAATTCTGATGCAGATGATACAAAAAGCAATTAGTATGTTTACTACCTATCTGATCCTCCATTAGCAGTGCACCACCAGTTTTGGGCTTTAAACTAGGATGGGAGATTGGTTTTCAAATCTCACAAGGATTATCCTTATCAAAGAATATGCATGATTTGATATCAAATGAGGCTTTGCCATATTACTTTCCTGACTACATTCTGTTTATTAGGATTTCCATCAAACATGTTACTCAATCCATGTAATCTAGTTATCCATCACCATTAATTTTTTTTTTCTTTTTAAATTTATTTTCATTTCAAATTTCCATTAATGAAGACAATGTCCCATTTTTATGGGTTCTTTTGTGTAAAGGTAGTTTTTTAAATTTTGTCCTTGATATATGTAGGAAGCCTCATATCTACTCAACAACAACTTAGTATTTTCTATAGCTGACCCACTTTCTTGATCCTTGGCAACCAACTCCACCTCCATTGCTTTCTGTGATCTCAGCCTTGCTCCTCTTACCACCTGAATCACCCTTCTGACCAGGAGTGCCCATCAGCCAAGCTTTCCTGATTCCAGTTCATTCTTTTCTGGAAGCATAGTTTTGGACATAACAATGTATTCTTATCTGCCCTTGCACTACAAGAATGCGCTATAATGATTAATGTAGGAAACCAGTAAAAATTTATGTTCTGCAATTTTTCCATCATACTTCTTCAGAAGGTTGTTTCCCTTGCTGGAACGTGTTTCCTCTGATACAGTGCACAATTTGATATTACTGATACATAAATATTACCAACAAGTGACAGCAAACTATTAACCTGTGCAGGCATCATAACAAATTCCATCCTGCCTTGAATGAAGAACAAAAACAAAGTTGCTGGAAAAGCTCAGCAGGTCTGGCAGCATCTGTGAGGGAAAAAACAGAGTTAACGTTTCGGGTCTGGTGACCCTTCCTGCTGAGCTTTTCCAGCAACTTTGTTTTTGTTCCTGATTTACAGCATCCGCAGTTCTTTCGGCTTTTATTTGCCTTGAATGAAGTTCTATATAGTTGCATTTAGTTGGATACTAATTTTCCCTTTGGTAAGATAGGGATGACAAACTATAGCATCCCAAACAGCATTCGGAAATAGTTAACTCAACTTTTACTGGTGAATTAAACCGAAGATTTTCTTCGTCTTTATATCCCAGAGGTGGTGTTTTCACCTCTGAAAAGACCCTGCCTTTGTCATAATTGATGATGATCAGTTGTATAAAATTTGTTGTATGGTCATTTAACTAACATCAGACTGCTCAATAGATATACCCTCAACAGTTAATCTGTGCTTGTTGCCTTATATCTAATACTGATAATCAGTAAGTAACTGCATAAATATTTGTGTGTGTAACCAACCAACTCCAGTTACACACTTAAAATCAATTTGAACAAGGGCTACTTAGATTTATAAGGCAGTGGAGAAGCCCAAGCAGTGCTATATAAATAGAAACCTATTACTTTTATTTATCAATGCAGTCAAACATAAAAAACAGCCCTCTTATTCACAAAATCTGTGTGTTCCTCCATCTTCCCTGATTTCAGTTATCCTCTGTTGAGAGATAAAAACAGGAAATGGAAGGAGGAAAGATTAAGATCATATTTTAGGGACTACGCCATTTTTATTGTTTGGGGATTAGCAGTAAATTGCAAAGGCAATGGTGGATACCTTTATCTTTGATAAAGTGTATATATTTTCTACTCATCTCTCTTCACTGCATCACATGCCATATCCCATGTGAAACCTAGGTACGCAGCTCATAGACTAGTTGCCACTTTTTTTTGTAAATGGATGTCAGGAGTTATGCAAAGAGTATTTCAGAGTGGCACTGCCACTTACAGTTCCTCCCACTTCTTTTGGGAAGACAGTGACAAGACTGGGGACAGCATCTAGTCTCTGGTCAATGGATCAACCTCACACTCAACAAATTACTTGATGTACATTGGTTTGTAGATGGTAGAAACAAAACTATTCCAATTCTTGGTCACTGTGTGAGATTGTGACCATTTGTCATCTAGTTGGCCCTGAGATGAGGTTCAGGCCATATATCCACTGCAACATTACCTGCTTCTGCCTCTATAGCATCGTCCATCTCAACCTTCGCTGCAGCTCATCTGTTCTTGAAAATCACATTCATTCATTCATTTGACATCTTTGGACTTCTCTACTTCAAATCCTGTTCTGGTGACATCCATCCTCCAGAATCTAAAATTCTGCTGTGTAAGTCACACCAAATCATTCTAACCATTACAAATAAAAGCAAAATATTGCAGATGCTGGAGATCTGAAATAAAAATGGAAAGAGTTGGAGAAACTCAGCGGGTTGGGAAGTATCTGTAGAAAGCGAAACAGAGTTAACATTTCAAGCCCAAATACTCTTTTTCAGCATTCAAAAGTCATGAGACTTGAAATATTAACTCTACATCTCTCTCCACAGATGCTGCCTGACCTGCTGAGTTTCTTCAGCACTTTAAATTTTCATTTTAGCCATTACCTCCTAACTGAGGCAGTGGCATAATGGAACTGCCATTGAATTAGTTAACTAGAGATCCAGTTAGTTTAATATTCTAGGACAAGGGTTCAAATCCAACCACGGCAATTGATAGAATTTGAATTCAGTTAATCAATTTACACTATGAAAATAGTGTTAGTAATGGTGACTGTGACAACTATTATCAATTGTTGTAAAAATCAATTTGATTCACTAATGTCCTTTAGGGAAGGAAATATGCAGTCCTTACTGGTCTGACATTCATGTGATTCCAGCCATGTGGTTATGTCTTATTTGCCTAGCAAGCTATTTAGTTCAAGGGTAATAGAGACAGGATGCAAATATAGCCTTGTAAGAAACAACCACATCATACGAAAGAATCAAAAAACAAAATGGACTTAGGACACCAATGCCTCAATTTAAAAATTCTCAATGTTTTTAAATCCCTCCAATGGGTTTTCTACTCTCTGAAAGATTTAAAAGGGACCTAAGAGGCAACTTTTTCACACAGAGGGTTGTGTGTATATGAAAGGGCTACCAGAGGAAGTGGTAGAGGTGAGTACAAGTACAACATTTAAAAGACATTTGGACAGGTACATGGTTAGGAAAGGTTTCGAAGGATATGGGAAAACTGCAAGCAAATGGAACTCGTTCAGTTTTTGAAACCTAGTTGGCAGGGACAAGTTGGGCTGAAGGATCTATTTCTGTGCCGTATGACTCTATGACCCTGTAATCCTGTTCAGTCTTTAAACCCTCTGAGATGAGGAGGAATTTATTCAGCAAGAGGGCAGTTAATCTGTGGAACTCATTGCTGCAGAGGACTGTGGAGGCCCAACCGTCGAGCGTATTTAAGACAGAGATAGATACGTTCTTAATTGGTAAGGGGATCATGGGCTACGGGGAATTAGCAGGAGAAAGGGGTTGAGAAACATATCAGATTGGCCAAATTGCCTAATTCTGTTCCTATATCTTATGGTCTTATTTGTGAGATCCTCCAATTTTGGCCTTTCATACAATCTGAATTTCAAACATAAGATCATTTTTAGCTGCCCTGATCTAAAATCCCTCTAAATTCCCATCCTAACCCTCCTTCTCCTTTCTACCTCTCCTTTGAGATGCTTCTTAAACCCTATCTTTTTGACCACTGACTCATTGTCTGTTATTAGCCAGTTTATTTTTAGCAGAGCAAAATATGGCTTTACGATTAGAGATAAATACACCATCACATGCATGGCTCAAGCTACTGCCTACCTAAATGCTCATGCCCAATTCAGACATTTTTAGCAGTGGTGGGACATGTGCATTTCTATCACAGCTTTACCATGACTGCCAAAAAGTTGTGCTTTGCAGAGTTGCAGTAAATCCAGAGACAAGGCCTGATCTGAATCTGAAGTGAAGTGGTATGGGGCTGCCTGGAAGGCTGCTTTCACACTGGTTATAACACCAGATGAAGCGCCATGTCAAAACTAGGTTCAAAAATGCTCACGGAATTCCTGGGCATTGTTGAACCTACCTACAGTTAGCCAGTCTGATGATTGCCTTCCATGCTCCCTAAACATTTCAACATTTGGAAGTGGAATTCCCACAAGATCTTCTGATGTCACTTTGGCGGAAGACTAGCGGAACCTTGAGAGATACTGTAGGTGGTTGCTCGCTGTGTAACTCCAGTGATGATACTGATCTTCGGTGGAAGTAAGGTCTAACAATGGGCAGAAGTTGCTCAAACATTTACAGCAGTTAGTATTATTTTTAGCTGCGGCAAGAGGAGCTCCAGCCAAAGTTCAGACCTGTTCAACTCTAATTGTAGATGTATAAAGGCTACATACCTTGAGTTCATTTGTAAGACTGCAAGAGAATAGCCATGTAGCTAAGATAATACAAATATATTGGGTAGTGACCCATTTTGTTACCCTTTGTTTTCTTCCATGCATTCCATGGGATCTGCTCGCAAACTTTACACAATCCAACCAATGGAATAGTGTACCTTATGGGTGATCCCACATCATGAACAGTAATAGAGGATACTGGGGAAATAATTGTAGAATTGAAGCAAAGGTTGTTATATAGCAGACTTATTCTAACACAGTTGTTGGCAACCATACACCCAGCATCTTCCAGTGAGATGCATGCTACAGTGACTGTCTAGCAATGTCATTAATACTGCAGTGTGAACAGGTTTAATGGCTTTAGAACAGATATGGCGCTGGAACTTGAGAATGGGAAAGAAGCATTCAAAAAAGATTGACGAGGTTTTAATATTCAGTACAGTACGATAAAAACGATCAGAATCAGGATGTGGTGGGGGCAAGGGGCTTAAGCTAATAAAAAATGTTTTTTTTTTAAAAAAAATCACAATGCTTACACAAGGGAGGTCGTGTTTTAAAATTCAGGCGGTTCTACAAACATCTTTATTTGATGCACTTTTCCGGACAGCGTTCATTTTACTGTTTTTCAGAAATGCAGGTTCATGATTTGACAGTAACTCGTTTATTTCATTTGGTCTGAATTGAGGAAACTTACGCCCGTAAAATGCACTTTTACTGGATCTGGTTTCTTTTTTCTGACACTGTCTCACACAAGCCTTGATGATCAAGTAGCCCACCTCTGCTATATTCAGCAGCACGCAGACGCCAGAGACTGCCAGCATGAAGATAGTGAAGATAGTCTTCTCGGTGGGTCTGGAGACAAAGCAATCCACTGTGTTGGGGCAAGGGAATGCATCGCACTTGACCAGGCGGATCATCCTGAAGCCCGGGTAGATCAAGTAGAAGATGTACAAGAAGGCAACTTCGAAAATCACCCTGAAGATAATACTGATCACGTAGGTCCACCAGAGAGACCCGATGATGTGCATTTTGCGCTTGGTCACCTTCTCTATGTCCATTTCCCCAGCTTCTCCTGTAAGCTGCTTGATCCGGAAAATCTTCTTTTCCACATGATGCTTATGGGCAACGTGCATGGCCACCAGGAGAGCGGGAGTGGCCACCAGGATCAACTGGAGTGCCCAAAGCCTGATGTGGGAGATGGGGAAAAACTGATCATAACAGACACTGTTACAACCCGGCTGTTGAGTGTTGCAAGTGAAGCCAGTCTTTTCATCGCCCCAGACACTTTCTGCAGCCACAACCAGCACCATGATCCTGAAAATGAACAGAACAGACAACCATATCCGTCCGATCCCGGTCGAGTGCTTGTTCACCCCTATTAGAACAGTGTAGAAGACAGGCCAGTTCATCTCCACTCAGTTCTGGAAGGGAAAATAATCAATTAAGGTGACAATTCCTCCGTGTCAGCATCAACCCAACGCCTTTTGTAATTGGTGATCATATGGTCTGTAGCGTTCTACATATTATGTTTGCATACAATGATTCCTTTTATTGTACTAACAAAACAGTATTCAGTTCCGACTCCTTCATCTCCACCTACACTAGATAAAGGAATCTGTGTAGTCACAGTGATACCATGTGCCCATTATTCATTGTTTTAGTTCGCCCACGTTATCCCCTTCTCCCATACATGCGTATACTCTGTGAAAAGGCTTTACCAATGAAACCATTTTGCCCGGTATTTTTTATTCAACCATTTATATTTAAAAACAATTAAGATTCTTCCCTATTTACGGCAATTTCTACAGGCCAAACAAAAAGTACTTACTTGTGAACAAGCTTTAGTAATGAATGAATGAATGGAAGGATTTCCCTCCATGTTTGCTAACTGCAAACTACTTTACCACCTAACTCAATTGCAAGGCATATAGTCAAAAATATTTCTAGTCAGTATAATTTTTGCTTTAATGCATTAAAGTAAAAGTGGCATATGTGCTCACCCATTAGCTCAATGTGTTTATCAGGTGAGTTAACTGAGTAGGCAGACTAGAAATAAACCAAACAGTTTGGCCTCCTGTTCCTAGCTTGGTTGGCTTCAACAGACAAAACCATCGTGCGCTACATTGGTCCTGATATTGCTGTAGTTAGAAAAAAGGAAGCCAACCAAAATTATCACTACAAGTCACAATTCAACAACAGAGACATACCTTTATAGAGCACCTTTAAGATTGTGAACAGTTCCAAGCCATTTCACA